TTATCTCATTAGATTCATAGGAAGTAATTATTTTCGGATGGGAAGCTCTTTTCATGGTGGTAGCGCTGCATATTTATATATCCATTAGCTTCATGCTATTTGCGGCAAATAAATTGTATTTTTCTTTTATTGTTGACATGCCAGTTCTAATATTAGCCAGTTCTGATGTTCTTTCTAAGAACTGTTATGCATGCATGCTGATGTGTGTAAGCACTGTTTTAATAAACAACTTAATGTAGCATTGACCTATTTGTGATTACTTGTGTATTAACTCTGTTATTTTCCTGCATATTGGCTTTGTTTGAACTGATATTAGACATGCACTAGTCGGACAACATTTTGTAAGCTTTATAGAATTTTATGTAGCCTTTCTTTGTATTTAATATAATTTTTTCAAAGCTGAGAGGCAGAGCACAAATGTACCTTCAAGGTTTTCTCGCTGTCATCAGTAGGTTTGCTGCAGTAGTTACATGCCTGAACCAACACACACACACTTTTTTGTCACAGTTCAATGACCTCCTGTGTGCAGAGGCTAGCCGGACCAAAGTATTAGCATATGGCCAAGTAGATCGCAGGGTATGCCTAAGTCCAGCCTATTGTCCAGGGTGTGTGTGGCCAAGAAGATAAATAAGGAATGTACTTTCATCAGCTTGTTCTTTATATGGTGATTACACTGCATGATGGAGTTCAGTTCATCCCCAAATATTATACTAATTCCTAAGAGAAACTGCATCAAAAATTTAATTTTCAGTTTCCAAACCATCTTTTTTCATGCTCATTGCACAGCTGTCACAAGACAAGAAATGGCACATAATTTCAACCAATCAGTCCACCATAAGAACAAACGTGCTCTGCGCACGCCCTCTCCTAAGACAATTTTAAGAAAACTTTCATGGTTTTGAGGTGTGAGATGATACAGCTGGAGCTCCTATATTTTTTGAACTAGAAACCTCGTTGCAGGGCTACAAAACAGTGGTGCTCAAGATGAACCATTATTTTCAAGCATGGCAGGTATATTTATATTCATAGTTTTACATTCAACAAAACTCATTAGCTCTCATAACCCATATGTGTAACAGTTAATAATATGTGTAACAGTTAATAATGCAGACAGGTGAGGCTCATTTTTACAATAAAAATACTCCCACTGCTCAGACATTTTTCTAGACTGTCAGCGTCCATGGAATCCTCAGATGCTTTTCTAATACCATCCCATATTAAGAATAGTTGCCTGCATGTACCAATTGGGCAGACTTGCTCAACAAAAAGGTTACCTTAAGACAGTATCTTAATTGCGTGACTGACTTCATTAAATTAAAACAGTAACGTGTATTTGTATGACCTTCAACCATTTGGAATTGTATGCATGTTGCCATGTGTGTTTGTGTGTTGCAACTTGGTGAACTAGAAATAATGTGCTATGTGTTGAGTGGTGTATGTGAACAAATTTGTCGCCTGGAGGTGCACTGTTAGAATGATGAGAACAGTGGAAGTCTTGTAACAGCACCAAAGGGCAGCAACGGACGGGTGAGCCCAACCCTAGAAAGCTCAAACAACCCAAAGCAGGCAAACACAAAGCACCGCCCGGGGGCAGTTATAAGCCCCACACAGGAAGGATGTTGGCGAAGCAAAGGAGCAACAGCACACAGATACACAGGGTGAGGATGATACCCCACAACCCAGCCACACCATCGTATCCTGCCATGCAATTCAAGCCGAGACCCAATGACTCCGCCCACCACTACGGGCACAACCTGAATATAAACTCAAAGAGAATCGCACCAAGCCATACCCTTTACACCTTCCTACTCATTCATCAGAGACCCCCAGGCCATTGCCACACCCCAGCCAACAACAATCAAGTTAAAAAGAAGTGTGCTACCAATGGAAGATAAACTATGGGCAAGTGAGAATAGCATACCGGTACTCAACCTTTTGCATAGCATTTTTCTCAGTGCATTTATTAGTTGTTAGAGCTCAACTTTCCACAAGCTATAATTTCACTTTAGGAAGGTTCAATTATCCTGAGACCAGCAACATATTCAGTATATAAAAAAAATTAACTATACTAATTAGTATCCATATTCTTTATGCGACAGACTGGCGACCTCTTGCCCGGAAAGCAGCTGGAGATAGGCACCAGCAACTCCCGTCCCCACTACGGACCAGCGTGAACAGATAATGGATGGATGGATTCCTCATACGTTTCTACATGTCAGAAACATTCTTTTTCAAACACATTTAGGAGGCAACGTGCACAGCATGTCATTGGCTGCGAGCTTGTACTTCTCAAAATGCATGTTTGCCTCAAACGAAACTCAGCCTCACCCGCAAAAGGCACTGAATGTCACTGTGATTTTACACTGGCCCCCATTTACACATGCCTTGTGATGTGAGAAAACATTGCGTGCAACTTTCACCAGTTGCAAAAACCTCACATTGCACCACTTGTCCATTCTTCTTTGTCTTTCTTCTCGTCAAAGCCCTCTTTGCCTGCAATCTCTATCACCTTCCGCTACACCCCTCCTCCCCCTCTCTCAATCTCAGTCAATCAATCCCCTCATGAAATCACAAGGTGACATGTACAGTGTTGTCTTGGTAACCATTGCTACACAACTGTTGCCTGGCCAACGAGTGCAAACAAGCTCCAAGCCCAGCACGGAGCACGAACGTTGAAGAAGGCATAGAGGAAAAGCAATAAAAGCCTGGAGGAAGGTTCAGGGGGACGCAGGGTCACACAATGGCTGCTGCAGTGCACCCTCTATTTAATTTAATGACGCCATTAACGTTGGATTCTTCAGCCAAAGTGCTCCAGCATAAATATCAGAAACTCTGCTTGCTAAATAAAGAAAACTGTGCAACACAAAAGGTAAAAACTATATGTCTTGTAGAAATGTTACTCAACTATGCATTTATCATATCCTTAGAAGGACTTTACCTTTAAATTCATCCTCAATTATCTTCATTCAATCATGTCATGGAATTAGCTTAGGTAAGGCTACTTAAGGTTCTCAAACTGTGGCACAAGTACTCCTTTAATAATAAATAGAAGAAATTCTGGCACCGACCCCTTACAACAGAAATAAATTGCTAATTACCTATAACACGGAGCTGATAAGCCCCAGGTAAAAGATTGTTAAAAAAAATTATATTTGCCTCAAACAGTAACCATCAGATGTGAACTGCTGTTTAGTGTATGTTAACTCTATAATGGAAAGTGCATATTTTTTTAATGTAAATAAGTATCTTTGAGACATCTAGTTTTTTAGTACAATTTGTCCAAAATCTGTTACCTCAATAACAGATGTCAAACATTTTTATACTTTCTTTTTAAGATTTCATGAACAAAATGTTTATATGGAAGTAAAGACACTAATAAAATGTTTTTTAATTGTGCTGTCCTTATAATGCATACAAAACAAATATTAATCACATGATAACAAAAGCTTAATGCATCAATTGTAATTCTTTTTATAATTATTTTTTTACGTTTTTAAATTTGCATTAAAAGGTTATGAACTATAAGTTTAAACTGAAGCAGACAACACAAACCCAAGATAAAGTCACATTGACTACTAACTTAGGACTTCTGGGATGTAGGAAGAAAATCAAATCTGAACTTCCAACTTATAATTCGACAATTCTGTATTTTGAGTTAAAATTGAATGCACCATACACCTCATCCTTCAACCAAAAATTTTGCACCAATTGTTATAATCTTGCCTTCCCATTTTTCTGTTTTAATACCATTTTAAAAACTACAAAACAGCATAGTCCAAGTTCTCTTTTAAACATTTATCATTGTGTTTGGTACCTAAGAACCATAAAATTCACCCAATTAGATCATGTTTTGAAGAAACAACTGCTCTAAATACTGAAAAAACTGAGACTTACCCCAAAAATTTTTTTTAATGAATCACATTAACAATATTGATTCACAGAATTCTGTTTATGGAGAACAACCTCTTTTTGAGTCATTTTCCTTCCTCTGTGCTTGTTTGAATTCAACGTTCACATGCTGGTGCATCTCCTCTGTGGAATTGTTATTATTTATTTGTTAGAAAAACCACGTGATCTGCAGTGTCCTCACAATATGTTAGATTAAAGCATGTGAAAAACATCAATAGATATATATTATTGATGGTGTTTTTCTTTTTGATCATAAGTTAGAGAATTAAAGCTGTTATTGTGTGGATACACACTAAGAGCTGTACCAAATCAGACACAGGCTGGTCGGAAAGCCTTTGATGAAACTAGATTTCTTTTAATGCACAGATTTCTACATGCTACACTCGAAATCTGCCAAGAAAAACAGAATGGATTGCTGGAGAAAAGAAAGGTGTTTGTCTCAGAGGAAGGTGCTGCAAGGGAGGTGGAGTAAATTGACTGTTTACAACAACAGACCCAAAGAGGGACCTTGAATGTCCATGACGAGCTCCCTTCCCTTTTTTCACTTTCAAGTCACCTTATCCCCAGATTTTTCTGGATGCCATCCTAAAAAAACCAAGGCCATAATTTCCATCCAATTTGCTCCCTCTCCCTGCATGAACACTGACAGATTGTCATATTTTGGCCATGCTCCCAGAGGAGTGCTGTGAGAGGCAGGAGGGCAGATAAACGGCTATTACCATTCACACCGGCTCATTACTGGGCATTTAGACCCGGGAGCACCAACTCCAAAGCTTCATGCAGAGGGCATTTATGCTGCTCCAGCTCCCACCCCAGGAACCCAGCAGCACTGCCCTTGTGATTGACAACTAACACCCAGCCATGTTTTTTTTATACTCAAATAAATAGTGAATATGTCAAAACATAAGAGAAATTGATGATTGCTCACAACCACAATTTCCTGCATCACAAAATCTTCAGTGTTACTACTACTTTATAGATGGCCACCGATTGAGTCGATCACTCAGACAGAAACATTCCGTGGCCACAAGCAAGTTTTTTTTTTTTTTTTTTTTGCGTGGATTGTAAGCACTGAAAAAGGCTAAACCTACTGTCATGAATCCATCCAGCAGGCCTGAGTCTGGTTTGGGTGGGGCTTGTAGCCGCTCCATTGACCACTTCTCGATGATTGATGACACCTGAGAGTTTTCCGTGTTGAGAATGCGAAACCCAGTCATGTTAACTCCACTGTAGCGATACGGTTCCATATCGAGGGCAAAAAGGTCCTGGAAGCAAAAAAAAAGAAAAAAGAAAAAAAAAAAGATGAAAGCATAATATTGTGTTTGATCTAGAAAGAAGTTTACATAAATCTTTCATCATATTAGTCAAGAGAAGTGAGCTGATTGGCTCTCATGGCCTAATAACTGAGGGCTAAGAGGTTGATCTAAAGGTATTTTTATGTTTTATTTTTCATCATACTGAGGCAGTAGCCTTGATTAAGGCAAGATTTCAAGGTTATAGCCAGTCTTTTGGTGGGTTGCCATTTATCATGTGGATGTGAAAGGACAACCCAATTGTCCTGCATACAGCATATCTGGCAACTAACCAGGCAGATGTCTCTGGGACACAACAACACAGTTGAAAGAGCAACAGCAGGTGACGGACGCGGAACACGGATGCCATGGTCAATATTTGCTGTTCCGAAACCAGCTCGGATGGCTCGGTACCAGTATACAGTAGTACAGGCCAGCGCGGTGGCCACTTTTCTGCCAAACACTGGCTGATTTCGAAGTGGGCAACTTTCCATCTCAGCAGCCAAAACCACTATTCTCTTTCCTCTTTCAATGACATACCTGCTGTCAGTCTCATTACATACAGAGAGGATTCTACATGTGTGTGGATGCAGACCATTTTCTTTTTTTCTGATTCCAGTCTTTCTTCTGGACTTCCAAATAACATAGTGCATCATTTGTTTGTTAGAGCTATAATGGACCAAATGGATGACACCATCATCTGTTCAGGGCTATTATCTGAGCTCTCAGTCTTATGTTCTCTGGCTTTACTGTGCTGCTTTTCATCTGGAACATAGCGGTGGGCAATCTTTGTAGTAGCTAGATCAAAGATTTTTTGGAGAACTTCAGTGGCACAAAGAGTCGGAATAAAATGTTTCCACCTGCTTTTGTCTCCCAGATCCAGGTTTCTGGTCAGCCAGGTGGGTGCCAGATTAGAAAAAAAAATCAATTTTTGTTAAACTTTCACAACTGATTTTAACATGCACAGAGAGCACAGACTAAGTGACAGCCACAACACAGTTGAAAGTGACTCAGCTTTCTGAAGCTACCTAGTTTTATCATTTTGCAGTGAAGCTTTGAAATGAGTCACACACAGTAAAAATCACATTGGACTTTTTTTTTTTTGTCTCTACAGACAGCTCTAAGTTGAATTGAGAAGAAAAACTCTTATCAGATAGACAGATGAATTGAGTTTTTCAACAAACAAAACTGATAGTTTTTGTGCCTAGTGAAAAGGAAAAGGTGAAAAAAGAATATTACTAAGTGACACGAGAAGTGCAAAAATATTCAGCATAAAAAAAGCAAAGAAGAGTGTCAATTTACTCACCAGAGTAGTAAAAATGTAATGGTAGTACTCAGTCATCATACCCATGGCCAGAGCCTATAAGAGAACAAAAACCAAGTATAATGTAAATTTGCAATTAAAACTGATTTTAAGAATACAATGTGAACTGAAAGATGTTTTCATTCAACTGTTTATTTAACACTGCATGGTGGCTGACAGCTGGTCAATAAGACTGACGAGAAAAAAAACAAAAACATTTTCATTTAAAGGTCAACAGACACTGCTGATCAGTAGATGTCTCAAAAATACTTGAGTGGTTTACGAAAATGTTTTGGAAACAGTTGCCTCATTTTGTGTTCATTTGAGCAGAAATATGGTTTTCTTTATGCTTTTTTTATTTGTAAACTCCACAGGATTCAGCTTCATAAGAAACTAAACCCTCTTTGTCTTTTTTTTTTTTTGTTTTCACATATAGTGCTGAAATATCTGTTTTAGAAAGAAGCTCAAAGTAGATATATTTCACACAAAATGTGTTATTTACACTGATAAAAATGTGTTTATTTCACAGTTCCCTCACTTGATGCAGTACCTATAAACTGCTGCACCTTGTTTTTTTCAAACACAAAGAAAGATTTTTCATCACCCATATTGTAAGAAAATGTGGTTATGCGAGTTGCTTTGGTTCCTAAAATTTATTTTAAAACACAAGATATACAAAATAAATAATCTCATGTTTTACTTCCGTAACTCATTTCAAACTCCTAATAGTCAATAAATGTCTTAGAATGTATGGCGGTTGTGGCAGGTGGCCTCTCACACCGGACCTAATTGTGCTGAAGGTTTCTTCCTGTTAAAAGAAGAAATGTTCAGAATGGGGTATTGCTGTAAAATTAACTAGCTGAAATGTGACAATATTAAACTAAAATTATCTGTTTACAGATAGGTCATGTCACTCTTTAGCTCATCTGCTTAAAGAAACCCTACAAGATCATTGATAAAATGTTGACATACAAAGTGTAAATTTTTCAATTTATGTTCAAAAATAGTTAGGTTTTTTTTTATAATTCCAAGTCCAAGATAATTGTGTATTGGACTGAGTGGACTGTTCCTTACTCACAGAAGGACTTGTGACGGACAAGAGAAGTCTTATTAGTATAATTCACACATTTTCTATCAGATTAAATAATGGCTATTTCAGACTGTACGATTATATATCCCATGTGTTCATGGGAAACACAAATGTATTACTCTATCTATCCTTGTGTTTGCTTCTTGTTCACAACTACATACATTCGTTTATTTTTCAGAAAATAGTCATAGTGGTGTAGCAAAATGCCATTAAACAGTTTTATCTGCATTTCTTGTGATTCTCTTTAAATCATTTATTGTTTTAGGACTACAGTGAAATTCACAAAGAACAAAGGAATAATCTCCCCCCCTCCCACCCGGTAGCATTTCATTTAGCATATGCACAAAATGAGCTGACAGAACAGATCGTGCTTCTGGAACAGATAGGACAGTGACAGAGGACTGAACTGAACTAGAGCAAAGCTGACTAGAAGAAGTTCTGCTTCAGTTCACCCGCTTAACTAACACGTTGAAGATACACAATCAAAAGATTACGTAATAAAGTTTTGGTCTGTGATAGAGAAGGTTTGTGAAGACTGGCAATGTTAGAATATTCAATAAAGACTTCACTTCAATAAGAGCCATCTCAACTTTCATAAAAAATGACCTTCAGTTAAATGAACTCAAGATGCCTGTGAGCAGAGTTGGACATTCTAATTAAAAAAACAGTTTATTGTGCAATTGAGAGCATCCGTTAGTAGCGGTCAGTCTTCAGGATCTCATTATATATAAGGGGAGTAAAGGTGCACAGAGTAGAGAGGAGGAATCCAACAGGAGGCGTAATAAAGTGAACACACTATTGTTTTAGCACTCATACATAATGAATGAGGGATGTGCTTCTGTGTTCAGTCCTGACTTTACGAGGAAAATTATGTAAATTTTGTTCCTAAGTAACTTTTTAATTAAATGCGGAACATAATATGATAAAATTGCTCATTTATTCATCAATTTAGCTCCTCTCAGTTCATACATAGTAAATTCTGGGGGCAAATCATTTGCAAGTGTTTTGCTGAACACAATTTTTCCTATTACTTCTCATCAGATGGTTGTGAAAAAAGAAAAGTCTGTCTCTTTGTTTCTGCTACAGGCCCATGAAGGTATCTCAGCTCATTAAGGTGACGCCACCTGTTTCAGAATCCAGGCAGCCATCTCGTGTCCACAATCAAAGATGACATGAAACTCCTTTGCCTTCTTCATCTCCTTCAAAAGTGGCTTGGCGTCCTTGGTCTCTGTGGGCAGCTGACGGATCTTCAAACGAATGTTGTATCGTGACGGAGCCTTGATCAGCTCCTGCAGTCGAATGAGACCTGCGGACAAAGAGGACAGCATATAGCATGAAAGAGGAATGTTAAAGATGGAGCAAAACACTGTGTTTGATCTGTCGCCATTTTGAAGCATCTCTGATTCTAAGGGTTGCCATAAGAAAAAAAAAAAAACAGAATCAGAGTTTCTCAGCAGAAAAAGGCTCATATGCATGCCTTTCTAATCCACACTCTATTGATCCTCCTACACATGCTTGGCAAGCAAACAGACTGCTTCAGACCTATCAAGAGAATGCTACACCACGCCACCACATTGCTTTTAAACCAAAAGCGCAAAAACATAAAAATATAGGGGAAAAAAAAAAATCTCAATCTGCACCCTCCTACATTAACTCCCAATCTGACAGCAGCCTGCAAAATGTTGATTTGCTCCTTGTGTTCCACGACACCACACAAAAGCGCCGAATGGGTTCAATTTTACCCTGATGGAAAGCCGCGGTCAATTCTGCCTCTTCTGCCTTTTCACACACACTTCAGATGTGTTCTGACGAGAAAGAGACTGTTTGCCCAGCTTGTACTCCCTCCTCCCCCCTGTGGGGAGCCTGACGCCGCCGTCACATATTCAGCTACAATCTTCACCTTTCATTTCTCGACCGCACACTCAGGTAGACGGCTCTCCAGGAGACTCTGTGATGAGATTACAATGAGTTTCTCCCTCAGTAAAGAACTTCAGAGTCCAGGGATGAAAGGGGCTGGATTGATAGGAGAGATGATTACTTGTCATGGGTATAAAAATGGATGGAGCAGAAAGGATAGTTTGAGAGGGAACTGGAGAGAGATAGGATTTTTTTTTTTCGTTTTCTTCCTGTGGAACCTCTTTAAGTTAGCTCAGCCATTTTTTTTTTTTAAGCAAAGTGCTGTGTGCGCAGTTTAATGGCCTCACTGTGCTTACGCCTCGGTCTCCCCGAGGCCCGCAGAAAAATTGGTGTGAAACAGATCCATGCAAGTCTAGTTGTGAAAAGAACTACAGTAGGAAGGGATTCTAAACCTCCGAGAGTTGTCCCCAGGTAATCCCTGCAGATCCCCACTCTGGGGCATGTCTACTTCTCCCTGTTTTTGTTCGTGATGACACTTTGGGAGGTGTTAAGCAAGGGAAAAAAATCTGTCAAGGGAGCTCAGCGTTTGGGAAACACTGTCAGTGTGGATGTTTGTGAGCTCTGGCTAATGCCTTCAGACTTTCCCCCTGGATCTTCTAACGGCCGTGTGTGAATATTTTATCCCCTCCGATAGTTTTTCCTGCCAGCCGTCAGATAGACTCCAATCAGCAGTGCAAGGCCCTGGAGCATGAAGCTGTGTGATTACAGCCTGAGACTGGGACCGGGCGCGAAGCGGAGCGGGGCTATGGAACACGACTACGCAGCTGTCACACTTTTCAGAAAGTCAGGTGTCGTACAGCAGAAAAAAGAAAAGAAAAAAAAAAAAAAAAACATATCTAGACAGGAGGCCCGAGATACCTTCGACTGACAGAGAGGGGAAAGCGAGAGGTTATCTGCTGGAATCTTTCGGGGGCAATTTTAAAGGGATTTAGGATGTGAAAAGTGCCAAGCGCTGAGGAGTGGAGTGAAGAACAGTGATGAAGATGAGTCAAAATAATGCGGCAGTTGGGCTTTCAAGAGACAATCCGAGATTGTATTGGTGCTAGAATGCACCAGGATTGTCTCTTTCCTGATGCTTTTTACATTTTGTCATGTTACACCAACAAACTTCTAATTATTTTATAGAGGTTGTATATGACAGACCAACATCAAGTAGCTCATAATTTGTATGTGGAAGCAAAGAAATACATGGCTTTCAGAAATTTGTACGTATAAAAGCCTGGAGAATCTGGAGTGCATTTGCACTCAGCCTTCCTCTCTCCTGTAGAAACACCTTTCACTGCAATTACATCTGCAAGTCCTTTGAGGTACATTTCTACCAGCTTTTCACATCTGCCGACTGACAGCTTTGCTCATTCTACTTTGCAAAGTAGCTCAAGCTTGGTCAGATTACACAAAGGCTGTCTGTGAACATCATTTTCAAATCTTGTCACAGATTCTTAATTGGATTTAGGTCTGTACTTTTAACAGGACACTTCATGCACATGAAAACAATTGAATCTAAAGTATCACTTTGTATATCTGCTGATATGTTTTGAGTTCTTATTCTATTGGACGGGGAACCTTTGCCCCAGTCTAAGGTTTCTGCAGGTGTTGCTGTATTTTAAATGTGTATTCAACAACTGTCGTGGATTTAGCTTTCCATCTTATCATCCACTCTGACCATCTTCCCTGACAGTGTTGAAGAAAAGCCACAATCAGTTTGTACCATTTTAGGTTTTAGTTTTACATTTTGCATATCATTTAGATTGTTCATTTTTGGTCTCATATGTCCACTGGTGACTTGCGTCAAACAACAAACAAAATGACTTTGTAGTTCTCTTCCATAATGGATACCATTTTGTGGGAGTGTAAATGTTGTTCTGTCAAGAGATTCTTCCATCTGAGCTGAGGAGCTCTTCAGCTCCACCATGTTTGCAAAAGGCCTTTTGGCTGCTTTTTAAATTAATGCTCTTCTTGCAAAGCCTGTCAACGTGAGTGGGTAGTAATGTTGAGGGTTGTTTGAAGTTGTGCCATGCTCCCAATATTCAGATGATGAATTGAGCAGTAAACTTCACTCCAAACTATTAGTCTAGCCTGACTGCTGTGCTTCTTAGTTTTAAAGATGCCACTTGTTCGTACAAGGAACCCATTTTGACTAATTAGGTGACCTCTAGAGAAAATATCTTGCCCAAAAATTTGTTTAAGAAAATCAAACTGAAAGTGAGCAAAGCACATGTGCACTGCACCACTTCTTTATATTTTATTTTATAAAAAAATTTAATCTTTCTTCATGACAAGAAGGCTTAAGGGGTACGAATTGTTGTGAAAAGCAATGCATGTGGACAAAAGCAACAAATCAATGTTTTATATATTTAGTGGCACAATTACAAATGACAATTGCAGGGCACTATCCAATTGAGTGAAGCAGGGAATTAATTCATTAGACAATCTGTCTAGAGCCTAGAGTGCGATTCTCCTTGCGTCTCTTTGTAAATTACTTAGATTTAGTTGTCAGCCACATCACGCCAAATAGCTCATAAATTGAGGATAAGCATTTGAATATTGTCATCTTCTCCGGAGTGACTACACTATACCTCATAAATGTATCACTGTACTCAAGCTAAAATATGACTTGCCTTTTAAAATGCAGATTATGAGGCACTCCACAAAGTTACAGCACAGACAGAATAGCTCACAGACACATTTGATAGCCACCCTCGGAGATCAAGTGTCTCTGTGTGTTATTAATGGCTGTTGTCAGCCCCCACATACTACAGTTTTACATTGCATTAAGCTGAAGAGACACAGGGTCATTCTGGGTAATTTTTCTGAGTTTTATTTCTGTCCTGCTGTTCAGTCTCTCGGAAGACTGACATTGGCAGCACCTGGAGGACTAAGACAGAACAGTAAGCTATTGATTTCTGAATTAACTTGACAGGTTACAAAGAGTCCTCTGAACTCTTGGGAGCAGCGTGGCACTTTGCTGTTCATCTGCTCCCTGTTTTTATCTTTATTCTGAGACTTTTTACAGTGTAAATGTAGAGAATAAGGACAGACACCGACTGTACCTGTACCTGTGCTGTCGTCATAGACCACAGTGACAGTTCTCCACTTGAAGAAGTGCACCAGGTCGAGGATGGCTCTGCTGAGGGAGGAGAAGTCAGGATACAGGCTGACATAGTATGAGTCTCTGTTGTCAGACACTTGATGCTTCCATTTGGTCTGGATGTGGGGCACTCCCAAAGCGTTGCAGATGGACTGGACTGCATTGGCAGAAGAGCTGTGTGAGGGGCCAAAAATGGCTGCCACTCCAAGAGAAAGCTGGTCACATGCTGGCATGGAAGAAAGCAAAAGTGTACATAAGGTCAGTTTTCTTTTTCTAGTGGGACTCTAAATTTAATTATGCTTGATTAGATTAACTTCAGTACTCATTTTTCCATAAAGATGTTGTCACATGAGGAGAAGTGAATTGGTATTTATCCCTCTTAAAATGCATTAGCAGATATATATTATATGCCATATAATAATATAGTTATAATGTTATATAGTGCAATACATTAAAATATTGGGGGGCACAGTAATTGTACTGTGCCCTCCTACAGTTTGTCCTTTTTTTTGCAAAAAAAGAGCAAAATAATGAGTCTGTAGAAAACTTGCTACAAAATGAGTCTGTAGAAAAATTTAAAGAGTTAAATTTATGTTTTGCACATTTTTCTTTTTTGCTTGACTTTTTACTCACCTTTTCGGGAGGCCTCAAAGCTATCGAAGATATTTATTCTCTGGATGTCATAGGTCAGTGTGGTGTTCGGGAGCAATGTGCGGTTCCTGTTGATTGTGTTCAGAGCAAATTTGAAGGCTAGTTCCTCTGCTCCGGAGGGGCCACTCTCAATGGATTCAAAAATTCCCCCTAAAAGCAAAAGCAAAAAAAAAATAAAAGCAAAATAATGAGTCTGTAGAAAACACTATTGAGATGACTGTTGTTGCAGGAGGCCTCATAAAACACCATGATCAATTTAATTCAGGCAATTACAGATCAAACGGTGCATTCATTTTTTTTCCCCTAAATCCATAATGTTGATATCCATACTCAGTTTTGGTATATGTGTGTATTAAACAGATTTACAGTGAGGATAAGATGCTTAGATATCAGGGGATTTGCATTCTGTGGGAGCAGTCAGTGCAATTATAGGCAATTATCTGCACTGGGAGGTGAGATCAGGGTCGGATACCCTTCCTAAATTCTTTCGTGCAGACCGAGAGGTTGACTCTTACTTTTTGTTCCTTAAATTTGAACAATTTTAAAATAAAATGCAAGCAAATGAACCAAACCAGTAGAAAATAGAAGGCTGAGAGAAAGAGAGAGACAGAAAAAGCCATGGAACAATTCACAACGTATGAGGAGAGAGGAGACGATAAAGATCAGTCAAATCACAAATGAAGATACAATTAGGACACTAATGTCTAAAATCTTTATAAAATGACCATATAAAAAAAGACTGTATGAAAAAGCAGCATTTCAGCATCAGACAAATAACCGCTTCTACAAAGTAAGGTGCTGTCGGCTTCTAACAGCTCCCTTCAGACTTGTCAATTATTCTGGGCTGAACAGAGATGATTAAAGCTCCAGATGTTCCATCACCGTGATTTACTATCCCAAACAAACGGAAGCAGCGTTTGGAGCCGACTCACAAAAAATGTCCCACATTTTGTGATTATGTCAAAACTGATTTAGGAGGATTCATTAAACAAACACCACATGTAAAAAAAACAAAAAACAACAAAAAAACAAACATGTGGGTTGATTGCCATCACAGCCAAGATGCGCAAGACTTGAGCAAGATTACATTTTTATCAATCATCTGATGTCCAAACAGTAAGAGAGGAGCATACATATAAATTTAGAATTGAATTATTGAGAATGATGGCAGAGTCTCCTCACATCTACCTCTAGGATGGATGTGAAATCCCCCAAAAATTTGACAGTTATTGAAAAGTTCCTTTTTTAAGTACATCAATATACCAAAAAAAAAAAAAAACATAAAAATATATAGACTATCTACACTCAGACAGATGTTTTCACATCTTTGCTTCAAATAACCGTGATGACTTAAAGCTAATGGAAACACATCATTTAATTTGGAGATTTTAATATTACATCAAGCCAAATAAAACAAAACATTTTTCATATAGAAATGTGGGCTTAATGTAAAGTCAATTTTTAATTATTTTAATCTGACAAGCCCCACTGGAAACATTTGAATTTACAGATTCCTATATTTCCACTTATGAAAATAAACAGAATTTTAAAAAAAGAAACAACTATATTTCGACATGCCACACCTTTGAAAGTAAACCAAAATCTTAAGAAAGCTTATGGAATTCAGACTTAAAAGGGAATGTTTGAGAGTTAAAAGATGAAAGAGGGTAGTGAGGGTAAGAGCAGCTCTGCAAAATTCTCTTGGGAATGAAAGGGGAGTTCGGGAGTCCATCCACAGCTCTCCTCTTCTCAGAGGGCAGAGAAAAGGATTGACAAAATATAAACCGAAAAACTTTAAAGCTTGTTTACTGGTGCCGTGACATGGAGAGAAAATGAGACCGAAATATATACAGAAAGAGGGACATTTTTTAAAAAGATAATATAAAGAGAAAGAGGGGAAGTTGTTCTGTAATGGACATTGTAGCTATAAATAGCATGTGGCTGTGGCAGGGAGTGATGGAAAATGTGTGCAGGAGGCCAAAGAATATGTCATTAACCCAGGGAAGTGATATTTATCACTGTCACCACTGTGAAGCCATACTTTAGGGTCTTTTACTCTATTTTATTGTATTTTCATTTATACTGTGTATATGGATATACAGTGAAAGAAGATGCTCCAGTCCTGGATAGGAGTTATGGGTTACCTTTGCAGAGCAAGATAGTAAATGTTTAACTTTTGATGTGCAATTAAGGGAACTATTTTAATTAGTTTTCCTGTTTTAGCACTCCTTTCAGACGGCAGTATTACATCACAAGACATTCCACTGATAATCTTCAAATGATTGAATACCATAAAAGATGATAGAAATTATGTCTATCTGACCTAATACATAATTATTATATGAAATCCCAGGGGTAGCACATTGAACGCTGCAGGCATATTTCAGTGAATGTGAAGCTAAGCATAATGGTGTTAAATCATGCTCATCCGATTCCTTTCAGTCGCTAAATGACTTGAACATGATTTAACAGAAATCATTCAGTGGCTTCTAAAATTATTCATACCCTGCGCACATTACCAGTTTGTCACCTTACAACCTCAGATTTTAGAAGCAAAGTAGTACAGATATTCAAAGTGAAAAGAAAAAAAAAAACATTTGTGTAAATGGTTTTCAAAATGTCTTTCAAATTAAAATCCGAAAGGTATCGCATGAATAATCTTTTAGTCCTCGTTGGTGTGATATTTATAAATTAAATTTTAAAAAATTAATTAGGTCCATGTATGAAATTTAATCACACATGTTATAGCACAACTATAAATCTATCATAACATGGATTTCCAGGTAAAGTCAAACGGAACGCATTCATAAAAGCGACAGCCAAGAGGCCCAGGGTAACTTTGGAGAAGCTGAATAGATCCATAGCTCAGGTAATTGTTCACAAGACAACTATTCGCTACGCACTAACCGTTCCGAAGAAAACCATAAGCAGTCTCAATAGTTGTTTGCCACGATACAGTAGACACAGGAAAAATCTGGAAGGTCGACTAGTGAGTTGAGACAAAAATTTGTGTACCTGAAATCGATGGATATCACGCTAAAGGCAATATCACCATAGAGAAGCTTATTATTGGCAAGGCATCATGCTGTTTTTCTTCAGCTCACACAGGGAAACTGGTCGGAGTTTATATGAGAAAGAAAGCAGCTAAGCAAAAGCAAATCTGGACGAATATATGTTAGATGTTGAAATACCCCTAAAGACTTTTGACTATAATTACAGCAGAGTGTGGTTTCATGAAGGATTGACTAAGGGGGATGAATGCACACCACAAATCTCAGATTTTAAGATGCAAAACATTTTGAAATCTCTGGATGTTTTTATTTCAACTTCACAGTTAAGCACTACTCTATGCTGGTCTAATAGATTCAATTTCAAATAAAATAACAGCAACTAGAAAACAAATGGCTAATTTTGAGTTTCTTGCCACACTTAACAAGAATACTTAATTAACTTTTTTTTTCTAGATCAAATAGCCTCAGTATTGATTCCTGTGACTGATGAATCTGACATTTCCCCCTGAGTGGACTTCATGAACCTTTAACTAGACTTTCCCCCTTCATGTTGCTCGTGTTCTATTTTTTCCTTGATTAAAGTCTAATAATACTACCTCTCCTATCATTTCCTCCATCCTCCTCCTTGTTTTTGTGGTTTGTCTGATTGCAGGTGAATGAATTACAGCTGGGATAATCAGCAACTCTGTATCTGTCTGTGTGCGCGTGTGAATGCGTGCACGTGTGTGTCTGCGAGAGTGCTTCTGTTCCTGTGAACTGTGCAGTCAGACCGGGTGTGAATTATGGTGCAACTGAAAGCTCAGAGTGAGTTATGAGCTGAATAACCACCCGGATGAGAAAACAGGCCAGCTGATCCAAAGGTCTCTGTGTGTTTAGATGTGGTTAGGTGTGAGTATGCAATATGTAGTTTTGTGTGGGTCTGTGTGTGGAAAGTGAAAACATCAAAAATAAACAGAAAGTCAAAATGAAAATGCAAAGCAGGACAGTTGCAGCTGTCCTGCTTTGCATGAACCCTTTTAAAATTCTCCATTACATTAAATACCTCATTAAATAACTTTGTCACTTGTCTGTTAAATGAAAAGGAGTTTTTTGAGTAATACTTTTCATGTACAGAAATGTCCTTCACATGCAATCATAACAAAATATCAATGCGATTCACGTTCTTTTAGTACATTTTTTCGTTCACAAGCTGTTCGGAGAAGTTATTAAAGCCGAGGCTATTTTTTGTGACTTCAGAGCACTCTTGAGTCCTTGCAGAGAAAATGGCGTCGGGGAAAAAAAGGGTTATTTACACACCAATGAATAGAAATCCAGCCTGCTCTTTCCACCCAAGGTTGCTCTGTACAATGAGCGATGAAATTCAGATATGTTGCCATAGTGACTCATCTATTCTATGGCGCCTAGGCATTGGCAGTTTTGGAATCTGAGCACCAGATTGGTAAAGGAGGGGGTTATTGTGACAACATGAACAACTTGACTCCGTGACTAATGGTGAAGCAGTAGGAGGGCGGTGGGCTGTAGGGTGGCTGCCTGAGGCAGTTGGGCCAGGTATGGGCATGACGTCTCTCACTTTGGGGATCGAAGACCTCCGCCCACCCAGCGCACCCCTGTCCCCTCCCCCCCCCCATGGCCTGTTTCTGTCTCTCTCCATCTTTCAACAAGAGGGGATCAGTGCTCAGAGCCAATAGGCAGGAGGCAAAAGTGATGGGAACGCTCCATAAATATCACTGAAATTCCCAGTGGGAGTGCTCCCCGACATGTTTGGCGGTGAATGGGACATGATGCATGAAGGCCTGCGGAGAGTTGCCACCCCCGGTCATTAATCTGATGCTCCCCTTGGTAGAGTGGTGGAGTGACCTTTCTGTGCTGCACAGGGGCCAATTCTCTCTCTCTCTACCTGAAAATATATCCCCAGATATCTGGGCAGAGCACAGGGTATGCAGGACACTCACCTGTGCCGTTTGTACTTAATATAAACAGACCAAATAATAGGTGTACTGTGCAGAAAACTTCCCCTTTAACTCTCTGTGTGCCATTGCTCTACATGTATTAATTTGTAATTTGTTTTGTGGTGTGATGCTCTTTTCTATTTCAGTATACCTAAATGAACTTGAAATTTACCTGAAAAAAAAAATGATA